TTTTTATAGTTTTTGCACAGTTGTTGCATATGAGGTACCTTACAGGTGCGGGCCTTTGCTGAAGCATTAGCTAGCTGTTTGGGGAGGGCTTGGGTTTTGTTTTTTTTCTGGCAGTCTTGCTTTTCAAAATTCAGGAAAAACTTCCTGGATTCAGACTGAATCCGAGATGCAGCATTTCACCATCGACGCACTGGAGATTAATTTGAACTGTCTCAAAGTATACTCCTTGGATGAGAGGACAGTGCTTGTTTAAAATGGTGAGTAATACTGCCGCATTTGTGTGCTGGTAGAGGAGCTCCTCCGCCGGCGCTGGGCGCTGCATGTGGCACAGGAGCCGCTTCCCGCGGGGAGGCAGCAGCTGTGCCAGTGCCGCGGTGGGAGGGTTTCTTCCCCCCATCCTTGCCCTGCCCAAAATGCCCGAGTATGGTTCAAGCCTGACGCTTGCAGACTGTGATTGCTGCTTGCAAGAGAAACATTTGCCCTTGTACTGACTTGGGCGGTTGTTCTTGTGTTACTTTCACGCAGCAATAGTTGTAAACCGGTGTCGGGTGCATGGCGAAGCTCCTGCCAGGGTAATGCCTACTGCTGGGTCAGGGTCCTTGTCGCTGTGAACTCTTACTCTTTGCCCACTAACGTTTCGTTGGGGATTTGGGGTTTTTTTTCAGGTCAGTCATAAAACTGAATAGCAGCTTCATCCATGCACTAACTGGTCAAATAATTCAGCTCCTGCTGTTTCCAATAGATGTATTTTCTCCCAGCCCTGCCTGTTTGCCCTGTTGGTGTCCCTTCAGGGGACCATCCCCTGCCTGCACTGCCTTGCCTCAGCCTGAGCACATACTCGGGAGAAATAAAAGATACCATCTGTGAAGGCCAAGCTGATGAGCAAACATCCAAGCAGCAGAAGTGCCCCGGGGAGGGCCGGGGAGAATTCCCTTGGGTGCAAGGCCAGTTCCCAAAGGATGCTGCCACAGGCTCTGCTGCGAGACTGTGCTGTGGGACTGGAGCCATGATGGGCCAGTGGTTTAGTCGCTCAGGAGCAAGTGTCCCTTCGAGCTGGGTCCTGTGGGGCACAGCTGGGTGTCCCCAGGCCAACAGGCGTGGGTGATCCCTTCGCCGTTAACCTTTAATGTTCATAACAGGTTATGACACCCGCGTGACGAGGTGCCTTAAAGCCTTACACCCTTGTAAGCCACAGGTGCTCATTTTTAGCTATTTAATTATTTTTTCCAAATTGCAGATCTTGAGCTAGGCTGTACGTTCCATTTCCTTTACTTTCCAGGGTGTGTGAAGAAGCTTAGGCCCAGAGTTTAATGAAAGTGACAAAACTGATGTGGTGTAGAAGTACACCACGTACGCTGCATCAGAGCTGTGTTAGGAACCGTTTCAGTGAACGGCCAACTTCTTCAGATTGTCTTGGAAATGAGAATTGCATTCTCATCTGCTTTATTGTGTTTCTAGAGGCTGCTTAGGTACCAACTTGCACCAAAATATTACATTTTGGTGGGTGGATGAAATATAATTTCTGTACTGAAATATTGAAGAACCTCATGTAGGACAATGGGTAATTATGTAATTGTCTCATCCAAAGGCATGTGTGATCGGGTTTTGCAGAAGAAGATTTTTAAGGTTGTATTGAGGAGAAAAGGTCCTCAACCTTAATATACCGTGCCTGTAAACATCACCAGTGTGCCAGGGAGAGCCGTGGTGATTGCTAGCTTGGTTAGCAGGGGCTGAGCAAAGCGTGGGGGACTGAGCTCCCCCTGCATGGAGATCATGTTGACCCAGATCAGCAGTCCCTGGGTTCAGGTCTCTGTCAATCACTCAAGTGTTTCTGCAGCTGTATGCACTGTCTTCAGAGGATTTGGGGAGATGAATGTAGTAGGGATGGCATGTTTGTGGGAGGAGGAGGAAGCCTATGGGCAAAGACACTGGGTTGCAGTAGGAGGAGTCTAATCAGCACTGTCTTGTACCTCAGCGTGAGGTAGGATTTTGTCCATGTCACTCAGCCCTGAAAAGCCTTTGGGGCAGCAATGCCCACTGCGAGCAGTAGGTGGTGGAAGGGGCTTCGGCATCGTCCCCAATCCAGATGTCCCCAAGAGTGAAGGGTGCAGGCCAGCATCTGTGGGACTGGCTGGGGTGCATGGGGCCAATCTGCTCCTCCCCTTGCCCCAGCCCGGGGGTGGAAGGGTTGAGAGGGTGGTGAAGGGGCATCCAGGTCTGCATACGAGATCTTGGTCTCCAGCCCTGAAGCCTCTGGGAGGAGGGCCCAGATAACCCATCTGGGTTGACTTGTAGGGCAGGTGCCATAGCAGAACCGATTTAGTCCATAGGGCTTTTGGAAAATGGGTCATCAGGCCTTTCTCATCCTGGTTTCATTTTACATGTGTCGCCCTGTGTTTTCTCCCCCTGTCAATCACTGTGGTCATCTTGGTGGGACCACAGGGAATGGGGAGGCTCAACCTGTGCCCGCTGAGCTCCTGTCCGGTGGCACGTCTGGGTGCCCAGCAGGATTTAGGTGGCCAGAGCTCCCTAGGTCCTCCCAAAGCGGTGTGGGACAGGCAGGCTGGAGAGCTTTTTATTATTGGTGGTTTTTTGGGGTTTTTTTTTGTTGTTGTTTCTGGCTCTGCAAGACCCCCAAATGTTCTTAATGGCAATACAGCCCGTTTATATGTTAATTTAAGCCCGCTGACAAGCGGTTTGCTTTTCTCCTGACTTCTCACGGTTCCTTCGCCCATTGAAAGCCGCTGCCGTGGGCTTAGGGGATAAGGTGCCGAGAATTAGAAAATAAAATAAAATCTGCAGGATGCTGGAGAGCGAGGGGGTATGGGGATTGGCTTGCTCAAAGTACAAACGGGTGATTTCTGAAAGCAAGTAACCCTGATACCAGGGGCATGCATGACAATTACATCCAGTATAATACAAAATGTTAATTACTAAATTTTGAGAAATTAATGCTGATTAGCAGCTGCGTGTGTGTGACCTAAATACATCTATTGCTTGATCTTTATTCATAATATACAGTTTATTGTTGATAAAGTAATTGCTGAATGGTGGGCTGGCCCACAAGTCTCATAGCTAAAGACGGAGGCCTGATTCGTCAGGCATCTGAAATTTGTTGGCATCTGTTTTTTGTTGAATTTATACAGACAGGGAAGATGAATAGCAGTCTGAGCTACCCCCTTTACAACTCAACTCATATATATTATTGAGAATTCATACTGCTTTTATTATTTGGTCACAAAAATGGACCTAATGCTTGTTGGTTTTAAAACACCTACTGGCGCTGCTTTCTCTCTCCATCTTGCAAAATATAAGACAAGGCCGAAGCTTAAATTAAAATCCTCAGGTTCTTATCTCTTTCCCACAGGAAAGCAAATCTGTGTTGAAAACCGTAAAATTAAGAGGAGAGCAAGGATAGCATAATTTAGCAAAAATTCATGGCACCAGATTCTGAGCTATATGACTGGAGGGATAGGTCAGACATTAAGAAGATACTGCCTGCTAATGCAAGTTCCTTAAGGTGGTGCTCTGGAAACAAGGCAAGCAGAAAATGCTGCACTGGTTCCCTTTTGCTCCCTTTCCTCTACTCCTACTGGCCTTAACAATAAATTGAGTTGTCCATTTAATAACCCTTCTGCTTCTAGAAGTGCAGAGAAATCCTGGGTTTGTACTTGGAGTATTGTCCTAACATCTGTTTGTGCTGGGATTTCCATAGTGAGCTCAAAGAAAAGTAATTTCATTGGGCTTTTAAATTATTTTTTCCTTTTCTTAACTCCTAGTATTTGACAGGCTGTCATTGCTGAGTTTTATCAGCATTTCTTTCTGAAGGACTATTATTTTTTTCTGCCTTTTTTTAAAATTAACTTTAATAAAAACCTGTTTGGGGCGTAATTATTTTTGCTAAGGGCAGGGTACAGAGTGGCAGGGTACAAATGAATAGTGCCTGTTACACGCTGGCATCATCGCTACATCTCATCCCACCATGGGAAGAGCAACTTGTGTTTCAGGCAGCATTAGTATGGCAGCATTTCATCGGGACGGACAAGTCCCGTTGTCTTGCAGCCTTGATCCAAGAGCGTGATTTTGGGCGGCGTCCTTCCATCACGCCGAGTGCCCCCTCCCCTGCGCCTCTGTGGGAAGGGACAATGGGAAGCGCGCGTCTTGGCCTGCATGGACGGCACCCGTTTCGGGACCGTCTTGGGAATTGTAGCACTTCTGATTTCTCCTTGGTGTGACGCGGTGAGAGGCCTCCCAGCTGTCCCCAGGTGGTCAGCAGGTCTCCTCCCTAACTGACCCCTCTGAGAGGCCACTGCCAACCACTTATATATGAAATTAGGCTTTTAAGCGTGGCTTTTCAGTTACCTGCTACCCAGACCGGGAGACTTCAAGTGGAGTTTGTAAAATTGCCACAGGAAAAGCCCACTGTACCCTCTGGCAAGGCTGGGGGCTTGTCCCCACTGCGCCATGCCACGGTTGCGCAGGAGAGCGATGGAGAGGAGGGGTGAAGTCGATGATGCTTGTGTTGCTCTTGAGGCCGGAGATGTGGCAAACCTGCACTTTAAACGTTGGGGTTTTTTTGATGCTGATCCCATAACCGAACGGTTTCTTCAGTGCTGCTGCTGGCTCTGCCGTCCTTCAGTCGCAGCCGTCGCTGTGCGGTGCCTGCCTGCCTGGCATGGTGCTCCTCCTGCCCTGCGGCGCCCCGCCCCCCGCCACTTCCCCAGCCCCATCTCCGTGTCTCCCAAACGCCTTTCCTCCTGCTCCCGGCCCTACCCATTTCCCTGCATTTCCTCAATGCCCGCACCCCTCCTCAGGTGCCAGTGGTTCGAGGATGCCGATTCTGGCAGCAAACCTGCTTGCCATCCGCCAGCCCCAATGTTGTTCCCCCTCCTTCAGTAATGCAAATACGTAACAACTGCATTTTGGAAGTGCCTGTTTTTTAATGCAGAAGCCCCACCTCGCTAACACTATTTAATTTAATTTTTTTTCTTCTCTTGCAGTCAAACAAGGTGCCAGTGGTACAGCCTTCTCATGCGGTTCACCCCCTCACCCCTCTTATCACCTACAGCGATGAGCACTTTTCCCCGGGGTCGCACCCGTCTCACATCCCCTCCGACGTCAGCTCCAAACAAGGTGAGCCCATCCCATCCTGGCAGGGATGCAGAGCAGTCCCCGTGCCCCCTGTGCTGCTGATACAGCTTTATTCTTAATATTTTAGAGGGAGGGTTCCAGGCGTGCGTGCCTGCTTTCAGAGATGGTAATTCTGCCATGATGCTGATATTTAACTTGGCTGTTTAAATCTTCGTGCTCTTTCTAATGTGATAATTCGGGCTTGCTTTACTCATCAAAATCTTTTAAAATCTCAATAAGCAGCAGCCAGTCCTCACCACCCCCTGTTGTGCCTGAGGCTTGCAGCGTGCAGACGCGGAAACGGCGATCATCCCTCACCTTCCCGAAAACTGGGGAAGAGTACTTCAGTAGTGGTGTTATTGAAACCTTTTCTTTCTCCCTTTTACTCAAAATTGTATTTTATGTCCTTGTATTCTGGCTGTCCGAATTCTTCCATACATCAGTTGGCATAACTGAAGTGTAGCCCATAAAATACAGTTTTGAGCCTGCACAGGTTAAGGCATTGCAAACATGACGGTTTTTATCCTTCTGATGCCCACTGCCTTCTGCAGAAAGCATAGTTTTAGATGTCAGAGTCATGGGCGTCAGTTTTCTCTGCGCCCCTACGACTGCTTAAAACAAACAAAAAAGCCCCCCAGATCCTCACCTGGGAGCGTCAGACCAGCCCCGCTCTGGGTCAGTCTGTGGGCCCCCAGGGAAGCGCTGACAACCTCTGAGGTGCCGAGCCCAGCCTGCACCAAGCTCCCACCTGGCGAACCCTCCCCAGGAAGCCCCTGGGTGTGTTTGCTTGCATTGGGATGCAGGAGCTGGGGGGGGATGTGATGGTTGTTGGGGGGGTGCAAGGGGAGGGCTGACCCCGGACGGCGCAGGTCTGAGCCAGGGTTTGGGTAAGCAGCCTGAGGAGGAGAAGCCTGCACAGGAGAACTGGTGGCAAGGAGGGAAGGAGAGGGAGCAGAGGGTTTACAAAGGCGTTCGCTGTAGTCGGGATGTCAGTGCGTGGGCGTGAAGTCTGTCAGTGCAAGGGCTGGGGCTGGAGGGTGCCTGTCCCTGCCTCTTTCTGCACACACGTGTCCCACCACGTGGCGTGACACCTAGTTGACAAGTTCATGAAGCTCTGCTTTACCTGGGCACATGTCCACATGCACAGTTGTCCCATTTATCTGGAGAGGTGTCGAGCCACCGTCGTTCAGGGAGAGAGACTTTTTTTAGTTCTGACTTTCCCTGAATGCCTAGTTTTTATTTTGGCCTTGCTCCGCAGATAATAAGATGGGCTACATCCAGAAAATACCATGGCCTTGTGGCTCTGTGTGGTTTTTGCTGTTTGTTGGTTAGTTGGTTGGTTTGGGTTTTTTTTAGAGAGTGGGAATACAAGAAGCACTCTGCCTGGAAAGCCTGGCCTGTAAATACATGTATAATATCTTTTTCAGAGTTGGAAGAAGCAAATGGAGACCTCTTGTCCTCATTTGTCTTCCTCCTTTGCATCAGTGCCCAGGAGAAGGACATTCACGTTCATTCCTTGAAATCCCATGGGTGCCATATGTGTTAGAGTACAGGATTTCAACCTCTTGCCCAAGCTGGCGGTGATGGCTGGGACACACCCCACTGCTGCAGTTCGTGAGCTCAAGAGGTTTTCACTTACTGCACAATGAGTTTGCCCTTCTGCACCCCAATTCTTTGCCTTTACCCCTGGTTTATTCTTGTACTCCTCTCCTGCAGACCCAAACTGAACATCTAGTTTGTTGTTTCTGCTGCCCGTCCTCCCTTCTGCCTTGTCTCGCCCTCTTCCCTGTCCAGCCCTTGTGCATCCCACCGCTCACGTCCCCGTCCCCAGGCACAAGCCCAGAGAGGGGCTCTGCTGCGGGGTGGACAGGGGCGTCTCTGTTGCAGAGCTCGTGCCCCTCTGGTGTTCCTGAATGGGCTCTCAATCCCTTTGCACAATGTCTGGTAGAGATGGGGACAGATAACTCAGGCTGGAGACTTCTGGTTTTGGCTGTGACAGTCTCCTTGATGTGTGTGGTCTTTCCATGCTCCCCGTTTCGGCGCCGCTGGCATGTGGGAGCAGCCCCAGTGAAGTGGCCCATGCAGTTGCTGTGAAGGGATTTTTTTCCCTCAGGTCCTCTGCCAAACGCCTCCGACCATTGTTTCTGTCCTCGCCTCCCACAGTGGCTCTGCCCCAGTGCCCCAGCCCAGACACCGGGGTGCCCTCCTCCCACCGAAATCCCCCAGCAGGGAGGCAACGGGGGGCCCACAGCAGCTTGCCCGCAGTGCTGCCTCTCGCACCCCAGGCACGTTGGGATGGACACACAGCCACCGCCTTGCCAAAGGCGGTCACTTCTTTCTTCCTTTTTTTTTTTTTATTTTATTTTTTTTCTTCACCCTCCCGTGAGCAAAAGCTTGCTTCAGAGAGCGCTGGCCATGAGGTAGCTGCATATGTTCCTGCTGGGTGTTAGGTAGCTGACAGCCCCCTGTAAGGGGCCACAAGTTTTGGACTAGCAAATAACCACTGTGCGTTAGTGCAGAAAGAGCATCGTCACCTCCGTGGGTCAGGATTTTGGGGAAGGAGCGGCCCAGCTCCTTGTGCAGAACTTGGTCTGGCAGGGGCAAGGTCGTGTCGTCACTCCCAGGAGCATCAGCTGTCACCAGAGATGAGAGAGATGAGAGGCTGGGCTTGTTTTTCACATTTTTTTTTTTTTTTTTTAAACTGCTCTGAAGGAGCATTCCCTCTCACAGAAAAACCCTGGGATATATGAAGTGTATATAAAATGTTCCCTCTCCTGTCAGCCACCAGCTGGTTTACACCTTTGAAAAGACAACTGGCCAAAAATATGATCCTCAGGCTGTGGTCCCAAGTCTGAGAATTTAGCTTTTTTGAGACGGTAACACCACCAGTATTGTTTTCCATCATTTTCTGTGCACAATCCCGAAAGATAGTCTTCAAATCTTATAATTAAATTCAGAAGATTTAAATACAAACTAGGGGGGGGGAAATAAATCAGTAGCATCAATCTATAAACCAAGTCTCAAGGTAGCACACACTCAGTCTTGGACCTTTGGAGTGTCACCACATAAATATTTAATGCCCTTTTAAAGCAGCTGATTTAACATATGAAGTAGACTTAACAATTCCTTCTGCTTCAGCCCCCTCTTCCCCAAACACATTTAAATAAACCGATGTCTTTGTGGCCTCTGCAACCGTAATTCCATGTCTCCTGGGGGCACGAGGTTTAGGTGAAGAATGGAGACCGTGGACCCTTTTGGGATGAGGATTAGCTTTAATCTTGAGGTGATTCTTGCAGTTGTAGGACTCTGTGTTCTGGGGAATGTGAGCTGATGGATCATTTCTGATGGGACTCTTATTTTTCCATGAAATACTACCAATGCAAAACAGATTGACCTTGGAGCCCAGAGGAGTCAACTTGATGAAGAGCTTAGTTGGAGCTGGAGTGACAATTGGAAGCCAAATGAATCATATCAAGTGTGACCATTACAGGCCTGAAAATGATTCTTAATTAACCACTGATCCTCTGTGGTAGCAAGTTTCCAAAATCTGTGAATCCATAAGGGAACCCGTGAAAACGTACAAGTAGCAATTTACCTAATCTAATAGTTCTGCTGCGCTGCCATTTTGACAACGCTTTATTTTCCTCTTGTTTCATGCTGTGTTAGAAGAGGTCCTCAGGATCCAGTCGGGTTTGGTGAAACCATTGAGAGGACAGTATTGCCTAACGTGCTTTACAGGAGACCTAAACTTGCGCAGGCCCTTACCCATACATTTATTCCCTCCTTCCCCCTTTTTTTTCCCACTATTTCCCTTTGAATTGCAATATCGTGTGCAAGTTATTTATTATTTTAAAGGTGGCATGAGTAGCCTTTTGCTTTTAAGACTAACCAAGGAGGTGATTATTTCTTATCCAGAGCACCAATTCCATTGTAGTGTTGGCCACGTTAGCTGTGAACTGTAGCTCACATGTAGTATTTTGAGGGGAAAGTCATTCATTCTTCTGTGCTCTTTAACAGGCATGTCCAGGCATCCTCCAGCTCCTGATCTCCCTACCTTCTATCCCTTGTCTCCAGGGGGGGTTGGACAGATAACACCACCTCTTGGCTGGTAAGATCTTTTAGCTTCTTTTCAGACAAAGGTGCATGTTCACACCATTCGCTGTTGTTGAATCAATCGCAGCATTTACAAAATAAGAATATCGCTGCAGTAAGAAATTACTACGTTATTTTAGTTGAAAAGATCAAAAAATGTCAATCTTTGAAATGAATTGAATCTGGTTTTTGAACACGTACAGAAATTTAAGTGTGTAGATTTCACTTTGAAGTCTATATATTTCTTATGGCTCAGATTTGTGGCTCTTGGCATTTGGAAAGATAGCAGAAAACAGTTCTCAGGGAATTAAATGTAAATTTTTAATAAACAAACTTGCAATTACTGAGGGAAGGGGAGGTAAGAAGGAACTTTGAAGTGTGTGTGTGTGTGGGAAATCTTGAAACTGCACCAACATGGCGAACAAACTTTTGTAGCCTGCTGCTTTTCTGTATGGAGAGAAGCCTCTGTCATGGGGGAGATTTTGCTGCTCTTGCTAATACTAGCCCTCTCAGGATATTTCTCTGCCATGCAGGGTGTCATTTTCCTTTTGGAGGAAACACGTGGTATTTTCAGAGTAATCAATTTCGCAGGATGCTTCATGTCTGCTTGGGGGTAGATAGGTACTTGCCCTCAGATCTGTCAGAGCAAGGAATAAGGAAACTCAGCAACAATTCCAGTGCTTTAGAATCTGTATCTTGACTAATCTGTGCCCATGCAACGAGCGATGCAGATTTTTTTTTTTTTTAGTGTGTTTATGGGAGGGAAACACGATCCGGATGACAATGGGCATAGAATGCAGAGAGCAGAAGATGGTGAAATGCTGTATTGCTGGCAAATCTTTCAGGAAGTGCCACATGCCTTTTTGGAACAAATTATTATCAGATACCAAACTAAAATATGAAGTATCTGACTCTCTTATTTTTTTTCTTATTTCCGCCCCCCGCCCCTCCCCGTTCGTTGCTGCTCGGCTGACTCCCTGCCTCCACCACCACCAGGCAGTTCCTGGCATTCGTTTTCCAGATGTGGTCAATCATTTCCTTTGAATGGTTTCTCGATGCAGAGGGCGGGGGAGGGAAGAGGGAAAAGAGAAAGAAGAGGAGAGACAAGATCCAATCTTATAAGGCTTGGGGATGTGTTCAGCAGCGCTCACTGACAGCAGGACGTACCCAGCCGTCCCTTACGCTATATGGCTTCCAGCTGCCTTCTGTGCAGTAGCACTACTGAGACTCCCTCCACCTTTTTTTTTCCCTTCCCTTTGAGTACTGCTCATTTCTAGTAACGTGCTCCAAGTGTGAAACCTGTATCCCGAACCTTACAAAGACCAATATCCCTTTTTTCCCCCTCTGAAAGCTGATCTGCCAGTCAATAAGTAACTGTTTGAATAGGATTGATGTGTGTGGTGGTCTTTCTGAGCTGGTTCAGGTATTTGGGCTGAACTGCTGTTTGTTTGCATTACCATAGCATGCTACTTCAGGGTGTTAATTGTAGTTGCGACCTGAACCGTTGCTAACTGAAAGTCAACAAAATGTAGTGACGATGATAAAAACTAGAGAGTTCAAATGACAGGCTGGTGACAAAATACTCCGTATATGTGGGAGTATAAAGGAGGTAAGAATTTCACACAAGCTTCTTTCACTGAATTGCAAAGTTTGAACTTTAAGTAGATAAGATGGACTTGTGTTGCTGTGGGCTTTTAGGTGGTTACGGGGTTTTTTTTATCAAATAAACTTCTACTTTCTTAGAAAAGCTGGCCACTTCTACCTCACTATAGAAGATGCAAATGGAGAGAGTCCTAAGTTTTCAAAGACTTAATAAAACTGTTCAAAAGGTTTTCTAGCTTGACAATTCAGTCTGGTGTTCTTGCACTGATCTACAGTAGAACTATTTGGAATAAAATGCCTCTTTCCTAAGAGCTAGTTAACCAAATCTGATTCCAGTGCTTTTAAAACTATGTGAGAGAGGGATAGGGATAGAGAGTGTGTGTGTCCGTGCACGTGTGCTTTGGGGGAGGAAGACTGGTTGTTTTGCTTTCTTCCCCAGTGGAAAGCCAGATTGAGAATCTTTCAATAGCAAGGGAGAAAGTCCAAAGTGTTCAAGTATTCGTTAGCTTTGAATACAGCAGAACTCTTGAAAGTGTTACCTATTACTATTTTTTGTGACTAGTACTGAGTTCCCATCAAGTGCTTGTAAGTCTAGAGTAAGTACTGAATACCGTATCGTATGATTGATGGGTTCCTTTCTTCTGTGACCTCAGGCAAGGTCAGCCTGTATATCCCATCTCGAGTGGATTCAGGCAGCCCTATCCATCCTCACTCTCAGTCGACCCTTCCATGTCCAGGTAGGTGTAGGAGGTGAATGACTGACTGGGGAGTAACTGCTGGCGTTAGAGGGCAAGTTGCTCTTCTGCTTGCGTCTTGGTCTGCCTTTGCTTGCTTTTCAGTCAGCTAAAACTTTATGCGTACATTTTTATTTAACATATTTGTGTATATACAGTTTGCCTGGATCCCACACTGGTCTCATTCAGCATTTTCTTGGCAGTCTCTGAAGTATTGCAATTAGGAGCACTGGTGAATTGTCAACAATTAATTGAGCTGTTTCATCTGAAATGAGTCGTTTCTAGTTCATTTCTAGATGCAACATATAGTGGGCATCCTTGGGTTTTCCTCATGCAAGTATGCAACCAGCTGTATTGTCACTCTAGTCTGCGTTCTCTAGTTCTAATTTCAAAGTTGTTGGTAATTAATCTTGAATCATTTAGGTATCACTCTGTGTGGAAACTTGCTCGCAAATAGGTATTTCATAGCCCAAAGCCACTAATGGCAAGGGATGCCAGCACAGTGTGTTTGTACTGGTGTGTGAATCAGGCACTGTGTCTTTATGTCTTAAGTGCAAGCAAGCAAGCAATGCTAACTGGCCATGACACACTCCAGACCTCCTCTCCTCTGCTTTTGCACTCTAAAGACAGCTTCTGCATCCTGTGCTTGGTGTACACAAGGTTGCAATATACCATTCTTGGGGTTTTTTTGTGTGACCTGTAGAAGACACATCCTCTTGCATGGGGACTTAAGACAGGCCACTTGATAAGTGGTGGGTCCTCTTGCCTCTATTTGTGTGGGCTCCTTTGGATTATCACTGTCCCTTCACTTCTTTACGGGGAATGATAAGCATGTGGCTGTCAGGGTGATTGGGAAGAAAACCCATTCTTTCTCCATAATCAAATGACCCGATTTGGTTACGGGGCTTTGTGTTTGCTTTATTTTAATGGCATGAAGGAAAAGGGCAAGGTGACTAGGGAATGGAGAAAGGAGAGGCTGGATGTGATTCCTTAACCAGTGCTCATTCAGCAAACCTTTGGAGCATGAGCTTGCTTTTGATGTTAATGGTACTTCCCACCAATTCAAAATAAAGCATGCAGGTTTTCTGCTGTGCCTGAGCTTGCAATGCTCAGCACCTTCAAGATCCGTCTCAGCTATCCTTGAGGATGACCTGGGTTAGTAGGGTGGGATGATTGAGTTAGCGGCACTTTGGTTTTCTTTTCATTTTCCTTCTTGTCCAAATGAAAGGAAGGTTTATTTAGGACAAAAGTCTCTCTCTCTCCCCTCCCCCCCCTTCTTCCAGGATGCAGGATTTTTTTAGTTTATTTTTCTTTTAAGCATTTGAGGGAAGGATAATGAGTTTAGGTGAAGTGATGTTAAAATGTTCTAGCTTAAGTACCTTGAAAAGTAAGAGATTCCTTAGAGAGACATCAGGGACTTCCTGAAAAGACTCTTCTTTTATTTTATTTGTTTCTGCATGGCAGTTCCCTCCTTTGCATTGGCTGGTGGTGGATATTTTAAGACTGTTTATATCTTGGTGTGGAAATACAGTTTTTGGTTAAGAAATGTGTATTTTTGTTGCTAGTCAGTGCAACAGTACAACCATTAAATGTTTCTTGTGTGCATTTTAAAACTGTTTGCCTGAAAGGTAATAAAATAACTTATTTACAACCAAATTGTTGACTGATCTGTTTGTTTGTTTGTTTTTCTTGAATAAGTGGGCTACAATGCACAAATCTTAGCCAAATATTTTCCATGCACTCTTAAAGAATTGTCTTCCATTGCAAGCTCCATAGCGTTTGCGTTCTTGGGGCATCCCGCTGCTGTCATACATGTTTGATGCCTGTCTTCAGTAGGGTTACAGACCTTCCTTTGTTTTCTCTTTTAGGTTTTCACATCACATGATTCCTGGTCCTCCAGGCCCTCACACAACTGGAATCCCTCACCCAGCTATTGTAACACCTCAAGTAAAACAAGAACATCCGCACAATGACAGTGAGCTAATGCATGTGTGAGTCTGCCTTTCTGCACTAGCCCTTAATCTATAAATGTTTGAGAACTAACTGTATCTGAAGAAGAGTCAAGGAGGTTAAAAAAAAAAAAAAGTGCCTTTCATGTCCTCTCTGAATTTTAACTCTTCTCCTATAACTAAAATGGGAGATGTGGGCTACTGTTTGGGAAGAGTGATGAGACATGAAGACATTTCTCATTCCAGTCCAGCACATTCTAACTATCAGCAACAGTCACCTTGATTCAGACATAATCATAGACCTGTCTACCTGTGGATGTTGCTTGAGTGTGAACTCACAAAATTCTGCTGGAAAAGGTCTTAACTGCAAAATCTACTAGTAAAAAGCAGCCCTTTTGCTTAGTACTTGAAGGCAAAAGGCCTAAGAAAGAAGTGGATGAGGAGCTATGCTCCTGCCTGTAGCAGTGGTCTTCTAGGGTACTATGGATAGCCATTCAAAAAGAGAATTGAGACAAGTGATGCATTTGGAGCGGATTCACAGATCAAATGTTATTTGCCAAAGGGTGTCAACTCGACATCCTCTCTGAATATTAAGTCAGTTCTCTGAAAAGATATGGAAGTGGATGGGACATGACCACTGAAATTCTCATTCTTACTACTTAAATGCTACTGTAACCACAGGTTGGTAATTTTCCATTGGGTTTTTTTTAGGCTGAAGGTAAATGGATGCTTTTTTTCCTTTCCTTTCCCTTTCCCCCACCACGTTTTAGGAAGCCTCAGCATGAACAGAGGAAAGAACAAGAGCCAAAAAGACCTCATATTAAGAAACCTCTGAATGCTTTCATGTTGTACATGAAAGAAATGAGAGCGAACGTTGTAGCAGAGTGTACTCTGAAAGAAAGCGCAGCTATCAACCAGATTCTTGGCAGAAGGGTATGTACAGGAGGGGGTGTGTGTACTCACGTGTGCTGCTAATTTGTGTGTGTTTCCCTTTAGTTGGGTGTGATGGTTCACTTTCTGCTTGAGGTGCTAACTAATGTGCAACTACCAAATTAGCTATAGAAGATAAAACATGCAACTAAAAATAAAAGCAGTATCTTGATTTTCTTTTTTTCAGCATTAGCAACATCGTCAAAGTGATGTCTGTTCCGCTCATGTCATGGTGTCCGCACCTCAGGCATGAAATATCCTCATTCACACATGGCAGGAGCATTCAAATCACCTTCTGGGTCCTCCCTTAGGCTGGCGTCCATCAGAGCAGGAGGGCGTCATTCAAAGATGAACACTGGACGCCAGTGGAGATGGAACACAAAAGTGAATATAGCGTGGTCCAACTGTGAAGTCCTGTAGGTTGGGAGGGACCTGTGGAGGTCGTTTAGTCCAACACCTGCCCAAAGCAGGTCCAGTTACATCAGGTTGCTCAGGGACTTGTCCAGTCAAGTTTTGAATGTCTCTAAAGTCAACAGGCGAGTACTGATGATCCTGGTATAGGTCCCAGAGCCTTGCTGAGAGCCATTTGCTTCTGTGGCATTGTAGGCACGTTTTGTTCTTTCCATGCTCCAAAAAATAATATGCAGGCCAACCCACAATTACAAACTTCATGTTCACTGTCAGCGTTGTTCTTCCAAGGGAAAGCAGCAGAGGTAAATGCCCATTTTGCCCTTGACTGTCCCGGAAATGAGAAAAGGGACGACTTTTGTATCAGTCTGCGTTTGACTAGGGATTATTCAAATCCCCTTGCTCAGTGAACCCCTCTTCTTGACCACTGACTAAGGCAGTCTTGAGAGGCACTGCAACTCTTAAAACCCTGTGCTTTTTAAGTGGGAAGTCAGCATATGACCTTAATAACTGCTACTTCGCTGTTAAAATCTGAAGACTAGCCCCCCCCAACAGAGCAGAAATCTGTTGGTACTTGTCCCGGTTCCTGCAGCTTTCTGCCTTTGCTCTGATGTTCTTGTTACCTCCTCTTAAAGGACATCTCAGTGCTTGCCTTTTCCATTCTTTCATGCAAGTCTCTAGGATCATGTTTTCGTTCTCACTCCCTCAGTAATTGATCTTAGTTGCTTAGTATGTCAGCCTTGTTTTCTTGGCCTGAATGAGGGCAGTGGCTTATTTATCTCCATTTTGGTACTGGATCAAGCCTCAGTGCTCCATTGCCTGCTTTTTCCACAGCTTGGACTCCTCCTTTCAAGTTACTGTTCTCTGTGAAAGTACCTCAAATTCCACTTTTACTGTGGTACAAACAACGCATGAGTTATCCAATATAATTGGTTGGAGATTAATTATTATCAAATGTTTTGTGTTCAGTCATCCTGGTCACTGTTTACTATACTCAGTGCCACTACGGAACAGGAACCACCTCTGTTCTCAAGAGCTGCCGCTTTGCAGGCTGCTGGGCTCTCTGATGCCACAGCGTAATGTTCACTACCTGCCAGTTTTGGAATGCACGTGTGGAGTTTGAGAGTTGCAAATAGGCTGAACTGCTGTGCGCTCAGTAACACATTGAACTTGCCAAGTCAAGACAGACAAGCGCTTTAGTTCAAATCTTCTGACGTGTAACAAAACGACATATTAAATCATACAGATGTGATCTGATCTGAAATCCTAGTTCTGTAAATTATTCTTGCGTGAGTGTCTTAATGATCTCATGTCTGTCTTTTTTTTTTTTTTTTTTTTTTTTTTAAAATGCTGCAGCAGTAGAACCTGATTCTAAATAAAAGGCCTTTACTCTTTTTTGTTCAGGTCTATGATAGGTGTTTCAACAAGAACAAAATGATTAGATACTGATGTAGCTGGTGCCTTTTCAAATGTGCAGGTTGTGAGGGGGTTTTTGTTTGGGTTTTTTTTGAAGTACATAAGAGCAGGAAGTTTATCCCTATTTGGCTACAGAGGTCAACTCATGTAATTTGGAAGACTACAGTTCTGTGGTTTCTGTATCTTAGAAACTTTTTGCAGTTGCCATTTTCTTTTTTTCTATTACAACAAGAAGAAATCAGAAAGCAGGTACCTTGAAGCTCAATACTTAGAGGTTGATCTTGGAACAGGAGCCTGCTGGTGCCCAGAAAGCCCTCGCGTTGGCATTGAAAACCCACGTGTAGCTGCTGTTTGAAAACAAGACAGCAAATTCTTCTGTGGTGGGGAGCTCGCTGCCCTTTAAAAGCAGCACAAAACCTTTCTGTTTTGTCGAGAGCTAAAGGGTGCTTTTTGGTTGTTTGGGGTTTTGGTTTTTTTTTTTTTTTTTTTTTAAGTAGTGATGGGAGAGCATGGTTCTGTGAGAAGGTTATTTGATGAGCCCTGTTTCCATAAATGATTTTTGTCTTGCTCAAGGCACTTGGCAGTTGCAGAGCTGACAAATGTCTGAAAGTTGGTTAATAAACACGGGTGCTTGTAATTGCTAATGAATTTCATTTTTGCAGTGGGGAAGGACTGAATCAAAGTCACAAAAACACTTGCTCATGTCATCCTTTGCCTAGGTATGCGTTATTTCCTAGTCTAATGCTATGTTTGTTTTGTTTGCAGTGGCATGCTCTCTCCCGTGAAGAACAAGCGAAATATTATGAACTAGCTCGTAAAGAAAGGCAGCTACACATGCAGCTTTATCCAGGCTGGTCTGCAAGAGACAACTATGTAAGTCGCTTACTTGAAGGCTCTTTTTTTTTCTTTCTTCTTTTTTTCTTTAACTTGTGGAAAATTCTGGATGGAGGCATGGTGAACAAACATGTAACATAAGCCTTATATTTGTTTACACTTCAAGCATCCAGAAAACTTGAGATTTTTTTGTTGTTGTTGAGATGCTTCTTATGAAGGTCACAGTTTTTGAGGGGAAAAAATTAGCATGGAAAGTTTTTTTTTCTAAGGCAATCGTCAGTACTGTCTGAAAGCTTATGTTCTACTGTACAGCTGTGAATTTTCCGTAATTTTCTATTTGATCACTTGCTATCCAGAGTCTTCTCTAAACCTGAGCAAAAAAGGGGTGTCCCTCTTTCAAGAGAACTGAAAGCCCAGGGATCTTAATGCAAACTGAACTTTAGTTGAAAGTAATTCAGAATGGTCCATCTCTGAAATAAAGCCTGCAAAATTTCTGTAAGTAAACTTCATGATAGATTCTGCTTTTATACAGTTTGGTAAAGCTAAGAAGTTTTCTTACAATTACTCTTTATTTTATAATTAAATACCAAACAAGCGCTAATAGCAGGTTGCACAGTTTGCACTGCACAATTATACTATTGTGCTTACAATGAGCTGTCAGTGTAGTCATATGTTATGTTATGAAACTCGCAAGCTGCAATCCTGAGAGACTGATCCTAGCCTGAGATCTGGGCTCCTTTCCATCCCCCCATCAGCTGTGACATTATTTACTATGATAGGAAGTGTACATGCTATGTCTGTCTCAGTTTTCCATCTGTATTAGGTGGACAGTAGTATTTCTCTACCTCAGTGACGTCTTGTGGACGTTAAAGAGTATGAGGCACCTAAATACAGTGTTAACAGAAGCTGTAGAAGTACACAACATCTCCAATCCAGCACAGCTACTGTTCAGCTTAAACAAAATTTTCATTGTGAGCTAGAGTCTCTTAGGGAGATCTTTGGCACGGAAGGCATTGACACAGAAACTACGTGATCATCTCCAAAGCAAATGCCTTGGTCTTGCTGACATCCATGCCCAGTTTTGTAAGCACTGACACTACTGTAAGCTCTAGCAGCTTATTTCTGCCTGTTTTATACAGTCATCTTTCCTAGCAGATGAGCTGTCATGGCCTTATGCAGGTAGGGTTTATTTCCAATAACCAGACCATGTCAACAGAGCTGTCTTGAAATATGCCTGGGAACAAATAGGGCCTTAGTGATATACTCCCTGAAAACAAGGGGATTTCAATTGTCTTGAACTTATTTGCTGGAAAATCAAACCACTTTGGAGCCTTGTTAGTTCACGTTTACTGAAAGTTAGCCTTCAAGATTGTCCTGTGATGCTTGGTCATGTTGACTTTGAGAACCTGATGTGTTTTGCCACAGCCTACTGCCATACAGCACAAGCCGTGGACCTGCGGTTTCTTAAATGCCGTGATAGACATTCGCAGTGTGTAAGGTGGCACATATGAATTCTCTCTCTGATGTGCTTCCAACCTACATCCTGTGTGGAAGTATAGCTCTGACATACTCCAATCCTATATGTTACAATGGAGAACTCTGCTAGCTTCCTCTTGCAGTCCTTCTCTCTGCCTCTCCAGGAATGCACACGTTTGTTGCAGCAGTGGTGAGAAGGTGATCATAGCAGATCACAGTTTATCACTGAAACCTTTTCAGGTATATGACATCTTTTTTCTCTTATTTTTTTCTAACTTGAGCAGTCAAAAAATGAAATTGTATTCATTTAGCACAGATATTACTGCAGTGTTTGAGAGTTGGAAGCAACTTAGGGGTGACTCTTCTGTTTCATGTGGCTGAATTTCACAAAAGTACAATTAAAAAATATGTACTACTTGGTTTTAATTCATCTATTTTGGTTTGCCTGGTTATTCAGGATTTCAGAAATTTCAAGAAAATGTTAATAATTGCTATTCAGTTGTTGACAATATCTGTGTGCTTTTTATTATGTTTTTACTACTGACATCCAAAGTAGTCCTGCATAGTTGTGTGACAGTCATGAGAAGCACAGTGTTTTCATAATGTGATGGTGTCTGTGTGTGCTGGAGTTGTCAGAAACTACCTCATTTGGGAATGCTGACAACTAGTTTTCAGCCCAACCTTTTCCTTCTGTTCCTCCACTTCTTGTATCTCATAGACGGATCTCAGATCAGCTTTCAGTATGTTTCAGCACTTGAAGTCAGCCTGCCGTAGAGAATAAAACATAATTTTCCTCGCATGATTTTTCCATGTTAACATCTACACTAATGCACTTTCCTCTGTAAAGAAGTATTGCCTTGGTGCCTAAGTGATAAAGCGTATCTCTGTGAGTTTCCCAGAGCCCTTGAAATCTGCTTTCCAACTTCTAGTCTTAGCCCCATCTTTGGGAGCTCACTCACAAGGCATTGCCCAGCCCTGTTGCCAGCCTCAGGATAAATAAGGACAGGAGTTTGAGTCAGGCAGGCCCAGACTGTCAGAGCAGACTGGAGACTACTTAAATTCGCCTGCCATAGCTTCACCGTAGCCTGTATTTGGAGCCCTTGCTTGTTGTCCATCAGTGAGCACCGCAGCGGTTTGAGGTGGTTTCTCACATCACCTGCAGTCCATCCCGTTGCCTTGCAGAGCTAGCTAATGGAAAGATGTGTCCCTCCACCTCAGCCCTTCCAGTTTGTGGCCACTCTGCATGGCACGGTCTATGCCGGGACATGCATTGGCGGCTGCCAGCCGTGCTGAGTGGCGTAACCTCTGGCTGGGGGGCAGAAGGATGGACAGTGGGCCGCAGTCCCGCTTACGGCAACTGCACCAAGGTTTGCCAGAGCTCATCTGTTAGAGCCTGTCCTGGCAGCTTAAAGGCTTCTTTAAAATATAAATGGATATGACTTTTTTTTTTTTCTAAACAAAAAAGAAAAGCTTTGACTGACAATACAGGACAATAAAGAGAAGTCATACGGAGGAATATCAAAGTGGTAATTAGGGCAATGCAAGATGTTTGAGGTTTAAAATTGTGGGTCTAAACTGACCTTTTGTTTCCTGAAAGACTGTGTGAACCGGGAGCTCTGGCCTTTTCTGCAGATGGGGGCGCGGGAGAAGGCTGAGTGTGTGGGTTGGCACGATGACCCTGCGCCGGCACGCTGGTGCCAGTGTGGTGTCCAAGAAAGACAGCTGCCAGACGTCCATTTCTGTCCTGCACCTCAGTCACATTAAGGGTGCTCCGCTGTACAGCAGTCTGCTATTTGCCTATTGCACAGCGCTTTCTCCGGGCATAGCCATAGGAGGCTTGGCTTTTGTTAAGGTATGAGCGTTATCAGAACAGTTTTAGTTGGCTGGTTTGCACCCTGGGGAGAAGTCATGGTCGTCCTAGGTACTTTCAACACCCTGTCTGCTGTTGCCATGTATGACAGTGTAAGTATCTGGATGTGTGAAGAGTTCTTGTAAGAGCCATAAATTATGATATCAACATATGTGTCATCAGATTATTAAGCGTGAGAAGTCTTTTAGATGCTTGTGGCTGCCAGCGTTAGTTGAAAAACTGCCAGAAATTGTAATTCCACGTGGATATAAAAATGTGTATTGCTCATGTGTGTATTTCTCCATAGATGCTGAGGGCAAACCTTGTTACCATTGAAACAGTTCGAAGTGGGTTAGAAAAGGTTTTAGCTACCCCAAAAACAATTGTTTTTTTTCCTTTCTCACTGTCCAAATGGCTTTCGTTTCTATGCTGTGAGGTGGGGAAGCGACAAAAAAAGTTCTGTGCGTGTAATGGTACGGTAAAATTTCCTGTTTTTCAGGGGAAGAAAAAGAAGAGGAAGAGAGAAAAGTTGCAGGAATCAGCATCAGGTAGGCCATGACCAACTCTTACTTACCATTCACCTCAGGTATATTTAGAAACCAGGGCTTGCACTATTTAATTTTTACGTGCTTTTCTCTAACACTTGCTTCTAATGGATGTTTTAAGATACTTCACTGTGAACGCAAGCTTGTGAAAATGCACACAATACATGTCTCCTTTCCCTTATGTCTTTCCGTGCAGCAGTCCTGACGGCATCGACATCTTTGGCTGAACTTACGCGTTACTGCAATCGCTGTCCTGCTTTACCTTTGCTTTTCTCCTCAATCAGTGTTGTATCATCCTTAGTCTTAACTATGTCTCAAATACTGTGTGGGATTATTGGACACTGGAAACTTTACACTGACCTTTTCGTAGCCACTGTATTTTTTATCACTGTATTTTACATTTCTGTGTACACTAACAGCTGCCTAGTAGGTTGGCTAAAAGCATCAGTGAGGTCTCCTCTTTGCTTGTAAAATGTATACAAAGAAACACCCTGTTTTCCCCAACAAAAATGGCTGGTATAAGAACCATAAAAAAAACAAACAACAAAACCAAAAACACACCAAAAAATCCATGTAATATTGTAGCAAACAAACTTATTTGGAATGTGCAAAAACTCTGTAACAGAAATTTGTTAAAGGAAAACAATCTTCTACAGGTACAGGCCCCAGAATGACAGCTGCCTACATCTGAAGCATGGTAAGAACATCTCTAAAGCTTTCCTGATGATAAAACTGAATTGTAAAATAAGCTTTCTTATAAATTTTATGCAATAATATGAATTTAGCAAAAATTGCAGACGTATCATATCCCAAAGCTAATGTTACTTTGACTACTAATGGTTTTTATACCGGCTATCTATTAGGTGTTCGCCATTTCACTTCTTAACCTTAATATTTTCATATTGACCGTACCTCACTGACTCGCTGCAAGTCTGCCTGTGAAGCACAGGGATGGGTTTATTAAGCAGTGCAAACCCTCCCAGCCAGCAGACTGTCACAGTTCATGAGAGCAGGTTAGATGCTGGCTTCAGAGTACATTTTATGTGCTGACACCTACAAGATGCTGGCTGGCTGGGTACACTTTTTTAAAATTTATTCACCTGTATACTAACAAAACATCTGCTAAGAAAATGGGACCGTATTTCAGTTATATCAAGAATTTCTCCCTCGGCTGTACAGTGGTATTTCATGTGTGGTGCGGGTTGGGTTTTTTTGTTGTTGTTGTATTTCCAGTGTGTCTCTTCTCTCTTCATATCATATCATCTGCACTGAAGGTGCAATGACTAGTGACTACACATATCCAATAACACCATCTAGTCTGCTTCTGAGTGCACACAGTACCACAGTGAGATCCTCATTTCTCAGTGTTGGTGTTGGAAGGCTGGTCCTTCTCTTCCTCTCAGTGTGATACGTTTTCTAGTAGGAATGGCATTCATTTGACATAATAGTTGCTTCTACGCTGTCTAATTAACCCAGACTGCTCTCGGGAGATCCCTGAGAATTCCAGGAACCATGCAAAAAAATAACACTTTCTAAACTCACCTATGCGTTATAACAGAAATGGGCTCTTTATCCCCTCTCCCCCTGCCTTGTTTGGCCACGTGATCCCCTTGGCACTCAGAGTGGTCAGCGAGGCGGCCTCCTGTTGGCCCTCTGCGCTCTGCTTGGACTTTCAGCCAGAGAAAGCCAAGTTAAGTTTGCTCTGTGCAGTGTGTCAGTCGTCGGTCAGTCAGCACGATTCAAGCCTCTTCTGTAGTTATGCCATTATGCTGGTTAGTCTAAACTCGGTTGGGTTTAAGACTTTGGGGTTTTTTTTTAAAGCTGAAGTAAAGTGAAAAGGCAAAATGCGTGCTCTTT